CCGCATGCGCGGCGCTCCCGGGCAGGGAAAGTCCTCGACTTACGACCGGTTGGGTAGTCCTCAACTTATGACCGGTTTAGTCCTCGACTTATGACCGGTTTAGTCCTCGACTTACGACCGGTTTAGTCCTCGACTTACGACTGGTTGGGGGTCGCGGCATTAAAAAGGTTGAGAACCACTGATTTAGTTACAACGGCACTGGAAAAAGCGACTTAGGATTGGTGGGTTTTTTTTGAACTTGACAACCGTTGCAACATCCCTGTGGTCACGTGATCAAAATTCAGACACTTGGAAACTGGCATGTATTTATGACGGTTGCAGTGTCACGTGATCCCCTTCTGCGACCTTCTGACCAGCAAAGTCAATGGGGAGGCCGGATTCACCAAAGAGCCGTGCTGCTAATTTAACAGCTGCAGGGATTCACGTAACAACTAACTGCAGCAAGAAAGCTGGTAAAAAGGGCCAAGCTCACTTAACAACGGTCTCGATTAGCAGCGGAAATTTTGGGCTCAGTTGTGGTCGAAAGACTCGCACCTTGACAAAAGGAAGCTTAGGGAACCTGATAGTAAATTCTTAACGGATCCCAATTGCTTCTGCTTTTGTCATCATTCAGAACCCGTTTTATCTTTTCCGTTTCTGTGATTTATTTCCCCCCCCTCCATTAGTTGCTTTAAATATCCAGGTGGTCCTCAACTCACGACCACAAATGGGACCGGGAATTTCCATGGCCAAGCAATGGGGATGTTAAGTGAGTTGTGCCTGATTTTTACAATTTTTTTTTTGCCATGGTTTTTACTGAATCTCTGCAGTTGTTAAGTGATTCACGTGGTTGTTAAATGAACCTGGCTTCCACCACTGCCTTTCCTTGTCAGAAACTGGCTGGGAAGGTTGCAAATGGCAGTCCCGCTAGCCATGGTAAGTACATGCCAAGTGCCCAAATTTTGATCATGTGACAGGGGATGCTGCAACAGTCATGAATGCAAGGACCAGTCCTGGCCCTTTTAGTGCCGTTGTAACTTTGAACAGTCAATAAACAAATGGTCATAAGTAGAGGACTGGCTGTATAGGTGTTCCTTGTTTAGCAACCATTCACAATTAGGATAACGATGAAAAAGTAACTTTGCAACCGATCCTTAACACTTAGAACCTTCACGAGTTTGTAAAGCAAAGTAAAGCTAAAATAAGGTCATAAGCACAGCTGCTATTTCACTTCGCAAGTGAGAAAGTTGCAGGTCCCAGTTATAGTCACTAAACAAGGACTACCTGTAACGGGGGACAAACAGCTCAGCCCTAGTTCTTTTTTCTTTTCTTTTTTCCCCCCAATTGTAGTTTCGGGGCTGGAATGTCCCGTCTGTAAGGAAGATTATGAAGTTGGCGAGAGCGTGCGACAATTACCCTGCAATCACCTCTTCCATGATGGCTGCATAGTCCCGTGGCTGGAACAGGTTAGTTGCCAGGGGAAGTCTTGGGGGAACTGGACAGAGCATCCCATGTCCACCACTGCTGCTTTTGGGAGGCCAGAGATGGTCCACCGGGGGCCCCAAGGGAAGCCTTGTTTTCTTCGGCCTCCTATGATTTGGACACTTGTTAATAGTGATGGAGAATAACGGACAGTCTTTGGAAATTGAACGGGGGGAAGAGAGGACTTTTAAGAGAAGATTTGTTAGCAAAGGAGGTGACGGTCTATGGCAGTGGTGGCGAACCTATGGCACGAGTGCCAGAGGCGGCACTCGGAGCCCTCTCTGTGGGCACGCATGCCGTCGCCCCAGCCCTGCTCCCCCCATGGTCCCCTCCTCACCAGCAGCCCCCCCCCAGAGGAGAGTCGCCCCTGGGCATGGCCCGCGTGGAGCAGTGCAGCCAAACACATGGCAGCTGGGCAGCAGGGACAAAACTCCACTGTCATGGTTCTGACTGAAACACAAAGCAATAATATCCAATTAGCGGCATTTACATCCACCCTCGTACCCCATTGCGTGCAGATGCTGTGGGGCATGCGCGGAGGGTGTGGCCAACATGGTGCTGCAGGGCCGCCTGGGTGATCTGCAGTGGGCCGTGGAGATAGTGGGTGGCCCTGCAGGCGGTGTGGGGGCGGAGCAGGGTGGAGGTGGAGTAGGGGCGGGCCAGGGGGGCGGGGTGGTTTTTGGGCACTCGGTCTCTAAAAGGTTTGCCATCACTGGTCTATGGCTTGTATGCTGTCTTCCTGCCTCATCCTTGTGTCAATGATTGACACAAGATCATTCGTTTTCAGCGGAACAGTTGTTTTGCTTTAAACAGAACTAAGAGGGAGGAATATGCCTCTGATTTTGAATCTTTTAAAAAGCTTTTCCAAATGCGCAAGCCTTCCTCCGGCGAGGCTTCTGCTAGATTCCCTGTTTCCTTAAAAGCCTAACACTTTCTTTCTATGAGCATCAGCTTTTGGCTGCTGGGACTTTGCTTGTTCCTGCAATAAACCACACTTTTTTTTTTTTAGTGAAAATCCTGTCTAGAAATCAATATAGCGCCCTTGAAAGTCATTTTTAAAACCCAATAATTCCCAAAGCTTTTAATTGAAAAATCAGTCTCAAGGCCAGGCATTAACGGCTTACAGCATGCTAGATAAATCATCTTAGTTAAGTCCATTTAAAACAGATGAGTTTTTGATAATCTTTTTGAAGATCAGGATTGAGGGGGACAGATCCTTTGGAACGGAGTTACACTAGAATTAGTGTCGAATTAAAATTAGGGAGTTAGAGACTATTTCCTCAAACTGTCAATAGTGTAGTTATTTTCCCTTATAGATGGCTGTTTAGCCTCCATTAAATACCTCCATCAAAAAGTTCCCAGTTTCTAGAGGCGGTACTTCTGTTGTCAGTTTTGCTTTGTGGGGCTTGTGGTTCACTAATCCCAGTCTGCAGTTGTATAATAAACCAAACAATATTTTCCTTTGATTGCACTGCCAGTTGCACAGGACAGCCCAGGTTCCCACACAACTTGGGAAAAGACACAAGTTGTTTTTTAAAAAGAGTTGCAGACAGGGACCTCATTTGCTCCTGTGGATGTTCTGAAGCACATCTGCTTTTGAAGCGTTGCATTGCCCTTTCAAGCCCATTGTCTTAATTTTTATCAAATGTGCTTTCCTTTGGTTTTTCCTTCCCAGGAATACCATCTGGATAGGCCAGCTATGCTGGCTCAGGAATTCTGGGAGTTGAAGTCCACGAATCATAAAAGAGCCAAGGTTGCCTACCCCTGGCATAGGCTGTGTTCATTTCCAGCATCTTAGTTTTTCCCTCTCCATCACCCTGACTCTTGACAATGCCAAGGGTCTTCTAACTTCAATTATTTTTTCTCCCCCGAAATTCTTAATCGTTGAAGGATCCACTCCAGGTAGATTCTGATTTAATGTCAAGCTCCCACCAATGGAAATGCAGTGGTAACTCGGTACTCAGTTCTGGGGGGGTGCAGCGAGTATTAAAAAGGACGAGTCCTAAACAAAGTACATGATTTACCATGTAACCCTTTGTTTCGGCCAGGAAGAACTTTTTGTATGTCCCTTTTCCTATGTCACTAACCTCCCCAGCATGGCCAACTTCCTGTCCTCCCTCTGTGGCCATCTCCCTCTTTTTGCAGTGAACTTCCCAGCGTGGCCAACTTCCTGTCCGTTCTCCACAGCCGTCCCTCTCTTCCTGTAGCTGCGTACCGAGTACTAAACAAATGCCGAGTACTGGGACAACATTTTCACATCAAAATACGCTGAGTACCAAATTCAATGAGTTTTGAAGCATTTGAGTACCGAAGTACCACTGTACTCTGTGTGGCGTGTTTGATAAAAGGGACACTGCGGTGCAACGTATTAGAATTAATTCCCAAGGTGGGCAGAGGCAGGAAGACGGTGTTGGTCTGAAGCTCCTTCTAGGAGTTGCCAACGTGCTGTGTTTGCTCTTAAGAGACTCCTTTCTCAGTCTAGAGTAGTTTTCGACTTAACGGCCACAGCAGGACTCGGAGAATTCGTTATTCAGCGGTGCTGTTGTTAAGTAAGGTACCACATGACCACAGCCAATTTTACCATCTATTTTGCTGCGGTTATTAAGCAGATCACTGCAGCTCAGGAAGACGTCACATGACTGCAATGGCAACCTCTCCCGCCAGTTTCCCCATTGAATTGCTAGTTGGAAGCTGGCTGGTAAGGTTGCAAAAGGCAATCACGTGACCGTGGGGATGCTCTAACCGTTGTAAGCGCAAGGACCCGCTGTAAGTCATCTTTTTAGCACTGTTGTAATTCACTAAGCGAATGGTCATAAGTGGAGAACTGCCTGTATTTAAGCACCAAGACATGGGCCAAATACCTGTTTTCATTTCTAACATTTTTGCTCTCTCTCTGTCTGTCTCTCTTTTTTTGTTTTTTGTCTCCACCCGCTTCCCCAGCATGACACCTGCCCAGTGTGTCGGAAAAGTTTAAGCGGGCAGAACACGGCTACAAACCCACCTGGACTCTCCGCAATGAATTTTGCTTCCTCCTCGTCATCTTCCTCCTCCTCTTCTTCCTCCAGTTCACCAAGTAACGAAAACTCCGCAAACAACTCATGAATCTTTAAAAACAAGCAAAAGAAAATGTCGCCACTCTCATGCTCTTTTTCTAATGTCATAGCCCTTCCTTGTTTCTCCCCCACCACCACCACCACCACCAGGGGGAAATCTGTGGGGTGGGGAACGTCCAGCACAGAGCCGTGGGGAGGGCTGGGAATGGGAATCTCCACACACTCCCCTCCAACCATCATAACTTCAGGACCCTCTTGACTTCACAGCTCTCTTCCCTCCTGCCCCCACCCACACCCACCCCACCCAGCCAGCCCGGTGTTTGGTATTCAATCTTGCATTCTCTCAAGGGACAATGTGGGGGAGGGAGGGGAACCTCCTCTCTAAACTGCTGCTGTGCGGACTCTTAAAACCGGCCCGACCTCGCTGTGTGACGAGCGGCAGGGAGTCGGAACGTTGAACAAGCACTGGATTTAAGGGAGATCGGAGTTCCAAAGGGGCGTTCTAAAATGGATTGTCTATATCCCTTTCTCTTTATTATTTTTTAAAATATAATTTTGACAAGTGTTTCTCCCCCCCCCTTTTTTTTTTTTTGCCCGACTTCCTGTCCTGCTCTCAGCTCTCTTTAAGAACTGATGACACCAACCCTTGAAAGTAGAGATGTAACAGAGTTCCTTCTTCCCTTCTCCCTCTTTCCCTCTGGGTTTTCTGCTGCTGGAGGAGCTCCTGAGCCTCTTTCCTTAGGCACCAGCAGCAAAGTGGGGGGGGGGAGGAAGGACAGGAGTGGGGAGCGCATTTAACAATCAGAGCCACTTCCTGACTCTGCACAATTTCTCCCTCTCCCCCCCTCCCGCCACCCTCCCCTGTTACTAACACCGCCCTTTTTGACAAGTCGATACCGAGAAAGGGTTTTTTATAATTTTAAATTATTACTGCTGTTAAATAAATGGACATTTCAGCTCTAGCCTGTGATGCATCTGGGTTTGTGCCTTCAGGAGAAGATGAGATGAAGCAAAAGGCGCTTGTGTGATGGAATAGCTCAAAAAAACAAGAGGGTGGGGAAAAGCCTAGGAAGTAACTAGGGTTGTAGACTAAACTAAGATGTCGAAAGAAACCTTGGAAGAAGTAGGCAGCAGCCAATTCACTTGCTTGTTCTTTTTGAGAAATCAGCATTTTCATGTCTGTGAAGTCCTGGGCTTGTCCTTCACTCAGAGGGGTCTTTTTTTTTACCATCTGCAAATGAGGGGTCCTGTCTTTCAAGGGTTGGCGGTTTTACCCAGGTTTTTCCCTTCCATCTGAAGCCCTTCCTTGTTCTGTACAGGTGGTCCCTGACGTACAACCCCAATTGAACCCAAATTTTTTGTTCTTAAGCAAGACAGTTGTTAAATTTGCCCCATTTTAACGATCTTTCTCGCCACTGTTGCTAATGTGAATCACTGCAGTTGTTAAGTTAGTAACACGGTTGTTAAGTGAACCCGGCTTCCCCATCGATTTTGCTCGTCAGAAGGTTGCAAAAGATGATTGCCCGACACTGCAACCGTCATAAATGCGAGCCAGTTGCCAGGCATCTGAATTTTGATCACGTGGCTATGGGGATGCTGCAACAGTTGGGAGAGACAAGTCATAAGCTGCTTTTTTTTCAGTGCCGTTGTAACCTTGAGCGGTTTACTAAACGAATGGTTGTTAAGTCGAGGACCACCTGCACAAAGTTGATGGAGTGCTGCTGTGGTTGTCTGTTCCACATCTCTTTGTGTCCGTTTGGGTTGTGTCAAGCTACGTCTGCAAGAGGAGGATCTGTTGCAAAAGTGGGCTCGTATCTTGTAAAGGCCTGTCTTGCCAGCAAAGCACCCACCAAGCAGTGCTGGTCATCGGAGGACATTGGACCGCCGCATTGAAGGTGGGCAAGCTGAGACAAATGGTAAGCAGAGTCCAACCTATTGGTTCAGACCACCATTTTTCCACTCTTGTGCAGAAGGCTTTTGGGGGCCAGTCCACAATCCCCTGTCCTCAGCTTAACACATAGGAAATGGGAAATAGCTCCTGTCCTCTATTTCTGCAGTCTTCTCCCCAGCCCTGCCCACATCATTAATAGCAACCATTAAAGGTAAAGGTTTCCCCTGTCCAGGCATGTTCGACTCTAGGGGGCAGTGTTCCTCATTTCCTAGCCAAGGGGCCAGCGGTTGTCTGAAGATGCTTCCATGGTCATGTGGCTGGCATTACGCCGGCAAACAGTATGCTGTTACCTTCCCGCCAAAATGGTACCTCTTTATCTACTTGCATTGGCATGCCTTCAAACTGCTAGGCTGGCAGGAGCTGGAGCGAGAACGGGAGCTCAACCTGTCATGCAATGCTTGGGTCTCAAACTGCCAATCTTCTAGCTAGCAAGCCCAGCATCTTAACCACTAGACCAGGAATCCTCAACCTTGGCAACTTTAAGACTTGTGGACTTCAACTCCCAGAATTCCTCAGCCGGCTGAGGAATTCTGGGAGTTGAAGTCCACAAGTCTTAAAGTTGCCAAGGTTGAGGACCCCTGCACTAGACCACCACATCCCCTTACCCACAACAGATTTAATTAGAAACCAGATTTTTGCATAAAGCCCCTAGGGGCTTTCTACCCCTCCCTACAAGCCTAATGCCTAATCCAGAATAAAAAATGTAGGCCTTTTCCACTCTGAACAGTGATGCTTTGGCAGCAATTGCGGGGGGGGCTGCAAAAAAGGGGGCCTGGCCCTGATTGGAAACAAGAGGCTTGGCATGGGAAAATCTGTAGTAGCCAAGCTGGTAGGGCTACAACGAGGTAGAGTCGACAAGAGCAAAGAACAAGCTGGTGGGGGGAGTCAAGATGCAAAAAAATTTTTCCTCTTTGTTTTGAAGAACAATTTAAATTAAAGGAAGGTTTACCACTCTCAAATAAAATAGGTTTCTCCACTCGTCCCAGAGGCCCCCTTTTGGCACAGGCAGGTTCTGTGGTTGCACAAGCTCCCATCCTTGGCGGGGTGTTTTTTCCCCGGCAACCAATAGGTGGCAGCAAGGATCCATAGATCCATTCCTGAAGCCATTCCCCTTTAATCTCCAGTGAAGAAGGGAGGGGCCTCTAGCAATTATGGAAGTAATTCAGCAAGGTGGTGGGCCCCTGGTTTCAGAATTTAGCCAGCTAGTGGAATGTGTAATTGAGGCTTCTGCAAGGAGAAAGTGGATGGATCTATAACAATAATAATAAAGTTGGAAGGGACCTTGGAGGTCTTCTAGTCCAACCCCTATACCATTTCAGACAAATGGGTGTCCAGTCTTTACTTAAAAACTTCCAGTGTTGGAGCATTCACCGCTTCTGGAGGTAGGTTGTTCCACTGATTAATTGTTCTAACTGTCAGGAAGTTTCTCCTTAGTTCTAGGTTGCTTCTCTCCTTGATGAGTTTCCATCCGTTGCTTCTTGTCCTGCCTTCAGGCACTTTGGAGAATAGCTTGACTCCCTCTTCTTTGTGGCAGCCCCTGAGATATTGGAACACTGCTATCATATCACCCCTCATCCTCTCCATTAAATAGAGTAGACATACCCAATTCCAGCAACCGTTCCTTGGAAGTTTTAGCCTCCAGTCCCCTAATCATCTTTGTTGCTCTTCTCTGTACGAGTCTCAGCATCTTTTTTACATCGTGGTGACCAAAACTGGATATAGTATTCCAAGTGTGGCCTTACCAAGGCATGTGGTTGTCTCAAGAGTAGTTTCTGGTTCTAGAATTGGCCTGTTAAGCAATTTGCCTTAAAATCTATTATAAGGGTTGTTTGGAGATATCTTGTGGCCATTTTCTAACGATTAAGAGTTGTTAGAAGCTAGTTCAGCCACTTTCAGAAAAGTTGTTGATGGTCAGTCATCTAAAAAGCAAGCAAATATTCTGTGGAATCTATTCAGTATATTCCACTTGTAGGCATTTGTCCCATCCCGTATATTTAAAATGCTAAACTTCTCCTGTTACCTGAATCAGTATATCAGATCTGGGATAGGCACTCCAGTATCTTCCCCTTCTTTGGGGTTACAACACAATCTCAGCAAGACCAATGATCAGGGATTATAGCAATTGTGAATCAACCCAGTGGAATAATTAAGGCGTTGGATCAAGTCTTAAGTTTGCCACGAAACTTCATTGGATGAAGTTGGCTAGTTGCCGTCTCTCAGTTCACTGTACCTTACAGGGCGGTGGTTGTGCGGTAGACATAACATCTTTTGAGATGTGTGGATTTCTGGGCTGGGAAATTCTGGGAATTGAAGTTTACACATGTTGAAGATGCCAAGTTGGGGAAGGTTAACATCGAGGGAGAAATGCTGTCTCGTGCTTTGAGATCCTGGAGGAAATGCTGGGAATAAATTTAAGGAATGCGTAATTAAGAATTCAAAATATCCACGGGATAGTCATTTGGCTACTACTGGCCCAGGTGGTAGATGTTCATCAATTGCTCAAACCATGTATCACCAAGATTTAGTTGAGCATGGATTAGGGGAGGACTCCCTTGTTGGTAATGTGACTACTGTGCTTGGGCAGTGACTATAGGGCAGGAGTGACCAGTAAACCAGGAGACGGGTGACTTTCAGAAGTGCTATTCAGTGGATAACCAGATCCAAGACCTGCTGGGTTCTAAAAATCAGATGGGAGTGCCGATATCGCCCTGTTGCCTAGGGACTACTCTTGGCACTTTGGCAGGGTTAGTGGTGCAATGCCCCAGATGGAATAATGTTGGGGAATTTCAAATTGCCTTTTTGGGGCACAGAATCAGAAGTGCCTTGTAAATTCATGGCTGGTAGGGCAGCCAAAACTTACTTAACAACTGCCTTGCTTAGCATTGGAAATTTTGGTCATAAATGAAGGATTATTTGTATTATCTAGGAAGAATTTGAACCTGGTGGTCCCAAGGAAGTGGAGAGGGGGGCCTCCAAATTATGAACTTAGCCATATGTATACAGTATTAGCTTCATGTCCTTCCAGGCTAGTTAAAACTGCCAGGAAAATGATGTGTGGCTGGGTCCAGGTAGTGATTAATTCCAGTGGTGGGATTCAGATATGTGAACAATCGGT